TACAACCGCGAAAGTTGTCTTTTCACACGCACAAGTCACCATCAACAACCACATCCCTCACCCTCAACCTTCATACCAATATTCAACATGGCCGTCAAGGAGTATCAGCCTCTTGTCAACCACTGCTGCTCTTTCTGCTGCAAGGCAGTTGACTTTGGTACACATGACTACTGCCCCGTGGGCGCCGAGTGTGCTAGCTGCCCATACTGAGACTGGCATCTCCTCCTGAAGCCTTGAAGTCCCAGGGCTGTCCCACCGGATTGGGCTGGCTGTATCATGCCGCCCAGTCTATGCAAGTTGTCTTAGCCTGCAGATAATTCCACACCGGTCCCGAGTTTCAACCTTCAACGAAAGTTCACCATGGCCGATCCATGGCGTCCTTGCTTCGTTGATCTCGCTTCCTTCCCGTCAGCTTTAACCACTTCTCGGGTGGAAGCCGCTCTTCAAAGTCACTCATTGGATCATGGCAAACGACAAAACAGGGCCTCAAGGCCTTTCGTCCAAACACCCGCCACTACTACAACGTCCATCACATCTCTCACGACGCTAATTCCTCACCGGCGATGCATGGCTTCTGGAAAATGGAACAAACAAACATCTCCTGGCTCCTTCACCCTCAACTGCCGCCAACAACCAACGGTCGTGCTGCAAAAGCAAGTCTGATCTACAGTACACCTCTTGCAAGCATACGACACTGCATATCAGATGGATGGAACTCGTGCATTTTATTTGCGTCCTGCTTGTTTGACAACTACCCTGTACTTCTCAGCTCGTGGGCAACGATCGGAGGTGGAAAAAGCTGTCTGTTGCCCATGGCCCCTCTCATCTTGTGAACGAGACTACCCCATTTACCACATTTCCTTGGTCATTTGTTTCGGTCCTTTTCCAGCTGGGGCGTTCGTGGACTTTCATTTTGGCTATTTGCATCACAGTTGGTTTTTTGTTTTTTTTGTTTTTTTTTTTTGTTTTTTTTGTTTTTTTGGCTTTACGCGGAGTTTCCTTTCCCTCTTCCTGTTCCTCTCCGCCTCGTGTTGAGACATGGCATGGGATCTGCGGGGGCTTCCGTCTCTGTTTTTCCTGCGCTTAACTCATGGACGGATATAAGGGCGGGGGATAGGGGAGCTCCCCATATCGGGTCGGAGTGCAGCCCTACTCCAAGTATGGGGCTCAAGGCGTTGTGTTACCACTTACCAGATGCGGTGGTGGTCGGGATCGGGAAGGTGTTACTGGGATATTTGTCTTTGTCTTTTTGACTGTTTTTGGCGGGATGGACCCCTTGGCCTACTTGCCTCCTGCAATTTCTTATCCCCTTTATCGTGCATAGCAGAGGATTTCTTTTCTTTTCCTGCTTGGAGTATGTTAGGACGGCGCTTTTGGGTGGGAACACCTATGCTTGGGAATGTGGAAATTTTAGGAGTCATGGGAATCGGAAAGGAGGACTTTTGAAATTTAGTTCACTCTTTGGCTTACCTCTAGTCAATGTAACACTATCACTTGCGCATTGTCAACGCCTCCATCACTTTGCTGCTACCTTACAGTTGTTCATGGGACACATATCTCCTCAGTTATCTTACCTACTTCCCCTGCCTACTGTACCCGACCGCAGTAGCGTTGAGACTAGATCCTTCGGTCAAGGTACGAATACAACGCGAACGTGAAGAACATCGGGAGAAGACGCCACTTTGGAAAAGCCAACTGACGGCCAAGCAAAGTCCCTGATATTTCCCACACTGCAATAATGATACGATAACGCCGTCATCCAACATGCCTTGCACTCACTCACCTATAAAAAACTCCCCGAGTGCCCAACCCCAAAACAACAACTTGTTTGCCTCCTCCCTCCCCCCTTAACCTCACTTCGTCGTCGTCTTTTCCCAAAGCCTTCACCACCACCATCTTTCCCCTAGTCCTATTCCATAACCCTTTCCTTCCCGGTCCCCTTCCCCGACCGGAGTCAAATCCCCCCCCCCCTTGCTCCTGACGTGCATATTGCCCTGGTAAGAAGACATGGGCCCCTGAAAGAAGAACCCTTTCCAAACTCCTCCCAGACCGCAACCTAGATCTCCGCGGATGGACGGTGTTAAAAGACATACATCCCCGCAAATGAGAGAGACGGCAAGAGATGAGAGAGAGGGGGGGGAGTGTCCGAGCGAGTTAGCGGGCCGAGATGGTTCGGGTGACGATGTGTTTGGATGGGTGATTCTTCTAACCATGTTTGGAGCTGCTTGAATACATTATTCTGGAGGTATACTACCAGGCCTAGTGTTTCTTGCATCTAGCCAGGCCACGTCAGGGCTTACACATAAATAAACAATGGCCTGACGGGATGGGAGAGTCCAAATCGTTTTACACCCTCATCAAAGTCCAAGACTGTGCCGCAATCTTAGTACCATTCACTATGCCAAAAGCGTAGGCGGCTTGTAAATGCATGACACGCAACGACGTTGAGGTTACATGGAAGAATTGCAAGGAAAACAGAAACAGAAGGAACAACCTGTTTTTTCGTTGATGGATGGGACTTCTTGATGGTCCCTTCCTAGCTCTATGAAAGGAAAATGGAAGGTGGGGTGAATGGATGTGGAATTTTCGGGTAAAGAGGGATGGTGTCGTCTGGCGCTCCTGCTTCCATCTGGTTTTTCTTTCTCAGATTTTCATTTTCCATAATATTTTGTTAACCAATTCTCTTTCCCAGCTTGGATAGTTCCTTCCTCATGCTTCTTTCCCAATGAGAACGGACTTCCCGCATTGCCCACCTGAATATGCAACTTAGCACATTAATCGAAGTTGACCGAACTCACCTGCATATCAATCGTTGGTACCAACCCAAACTTTCTGACTGAGATTACTTTCTCCAGCGCTCCGATTTCCACTCAAGACCATATTACCCCAGGGACCGAGTGGTAGAGTGACAAAAGACTCCTGGTCCTTTCTTCGACTGCTTACTTACTTACTTCTCCTACTCCCCTCCGCTCACGTACTCAACCGAACCTATACGACGATCCCACTGCTCCCCGCCCTCAACCTCAAACAACGGGGCGGACGGCTCGAGGCTTGAAAATCATACGCTACACCACAGCCGGGCAGCCGGGCAGACGGGATGAAACCGGCGAGGCGCGCTTGTATAGCATTTACGGCACGACTGATGTTGGTAGGTAAGTAAAGGGGTAGGATGAGTAGGGCTGGATGGATATCATGATACCTATACCGCACCGTAACAGTAATAATGTAGTAATATCATCGACATGCTGTTTTCTTCCTTCGCAAACGGGAGGAGTAAGTGGGGGGTTGAGTACCCCGTCCCCATCCCCGTCCATGTCATAGCTTGTAAACGACACGACGAATTGCTTGCTGCCTTCGCAGGAAAGGTGAGAAGTACGTAGATATAACTTTGATCCTATAACCGCCGTATGTTTCAGAGAAAGAGGAGATGAACCGTGGATGGGTTCCGTTGCTCGACGAGACGACGGGAGTGATCCATCTCCAAATGATAGATACCTTGCCACCAACCTCGAGCGAGAATGGTTGATGCTGACGTCGACCGGAGGCATCGCCGTAGATAGATAGACAGAGAGATAATATATAGGTAGGTAGGGAGGTCTGAAGTGATCAGATGCTACATTAACTGCCCACTACCCACGACTAGGGCTTATGATCTTGATGCTCTATGGAACTTCTGAAGCACATCATCACACCATACCATCGGAGACTGCGCCGTGTAAGCTTCTGCTGGCTAGCTGGCTGACAGGAGGCATCATTGGTAGAGTTCTCGTTAGTAGAGTTGCTTGGTTCAGTGAGTAATAGTGATGGTGATCGTGGAGGGTCATGAGATTTGGGTATGTATGTAGGGTACGTTCGTTGGTGGTTGAGGTTGTGTAGTATATGCAATCGGTAGAAGAGGTGATGAAATGCTAAGATGGTATGAGACATTGCTTCCTAATGGGATGGAATTGACTGGAATCGAATGTATTTTGACCTCTGATAGTCCAGGTAGGAAATGATATCTGAGTTTTGAGTCAGGGAGAGGAGGCTTCATAGTGTAACTCTCTAACTTCATGATCCATCATCACTCGTGAGCAGTGCTGGGAACGTAGGCCAACAATCCGAATCCACACTTTCATTTGTCCCTTGGCCCACCGGGTGCTCTTGCCAATGTTCATTGCATGCGAGTGGGTGTTGTGATAGTTGGGATGATGGACTAGAACGCCAAAGTGATATCTCCCGATCGTGCACTGGTTTGTTTCTCCGTAAAGACATTGCTCCGCATGACATTATTGTAATTAAGACATGGTTATATGAAGGTATATACAATGAAAGATGACGAAGATAAGGTTGTGAATAAGTCGAGCTGAGTACCGTCAAAAACATAACGCCGTTCTCCGTACATGGTGGTATCTCCAAAATTCCTAGCAAAAACAATTTAGTTCAGTTAAATTGATCAAACGAAATGGAGCGAGAGAAGGCAACCTTAGCCCGCTCATGGTCTTTTCCCATGGTTCCTTCCTCTTTTCCTCTAAGCCCCGTTCATCGGTCATGAAACATGCGAATCGTCGGAAAGCCCCATGAATAATGCGCATGCCAACGCGAATCCGTAATCCCAATCTCACCTCACGCACATGCGCTCCCGGTTAGGGCAATTCGCTGCGGGCCACCATCGCTCATCCGCCCTATCCGTTGCCAGTCAGAGACCAGACAACGGCGCGGGCGTCGATGCCATTCGCCAATAGGCAATGGGCTAGCCTTGCGAGATCCCCCACCCCCCTATCAAAGGGCAGGATGCATGCCCGAAACGCAATTATGGCCTGATGTCTTGCCGGTCCCCTAGGTACGTCGCACTCCACCTCCCTAAACCGTTCAGGAGTTCGGATGTGTGTTAATGTAAGCAGACCGGAAGCGGGATAGGGGAGTTTCCTTGCGTAGGGATTCCACCATTTGGGTACAAAGGTGCAATTGCCCTGTACGGACATGCCCGTGGTCCGAACGACCCGCGGAAGAGAACGCAATCAGTAAAGGCTGCGGAAAACAGCAGCGATCGACCCTTTGTCGTACTTGACGTATTTCCCCTTTCCTTTGTCAATCTCGTGGTAGCGATCCCAGAATCGATTGTAAAGTGGCTCGAGCATGTGCTGGACATCCTGTGCAAGCATCTGGCGCACCTCTTTCTCCATGGCGAACTGCTTGTGACGGGCGACCATTTCCTCGAAGCCGGAATTGAAGGCTGTGAACATGCCCTTGATTTTCTCCTTATCCTTGGAGCTGAGACCCTTCATGATCGAGGCCGAGCTTACCATGCCCTGACCCGAGGTCGGGCGCGCGGTGCGGTTGGTGTGGACCGTATCAAAGAGATGGATACTGATTTCCTTGCAAGTCTCGGTATAGAGAGCGGCGGACTTCTTCCTCCATACTTCTAGCACTTGGAGGCGAGACTGGAGAAGAGTTGCCAGGCCAGATTCCATGATCATACGCTCAATGATGGTGACATTATTGGCCAGGAACACGCCGATGACTGCCTTCTTCTGCTGCAATAGGACACGAGCACGGGCGTCCAAAGAAGAAAGGAGGGTCTCGATGGTGTCGGCACAGTAGTGGGTAAAGATATCTTGTCCGTCCGCACCGACATCGAACGAAGAAAGGCTGGGGATGGTATCGGTAGCCCCTCCCTTGGACGCAGCGGCCGACTTCCAGCCGCCATCGCCAATGGAAATCATGATGCTGGATATGGGTCGCAAAAAGTCGACCATGGACTGCAGCCGCTGCATGGTTTGTGATGCGAGCTGGGTGGGCGCGCCATCCGCGGGCAGCGATTGCAAGCTGTTGACTTGTCGTTTGGTCTCCTCGAGCAAGTCGACAAGCGATGATTTGGCTGTCTCCCGGATGGGCTTCAAGGCCGCAGCAAGAGAGCTCTTCAGCTCGCCCGTCCGGCTCTCCAGGTTATTGGACAGACTGGAAATGATCTCGACGATCTCATATGCGAGGAAGCAGTCTGTGGTGATATGTGACTTGATGTGGCTGTTGAGTTCCCGTAGAGTCCTGCCCAGCTCGACCAGGGCCGGTTGACATGTCGCCTGGAAGACGGGGCCCCAGTCCTCCCTCATGAAGATGCTGCAGATGTTGTCGTATTCGGACAGGAAAAGACCCTCCATGGCCTGGGCGTAGGTTCCCATACCGTTTGTGCCCGCCCTGTATACAGCCTCTGGGGTCTTTTTCTTGGCCGTGTTGGTGCTTGCCGTAGCCAAGTTGCCCAAGGTCGATAGTAGGTACTGAGACCGGACTTCGGCATAAATCTTGATGACAGGCGATTCTTGCGAGCTCCCCGCCCCTGTGTTCTGCTGGTGTACGCCGGTGAGGTACGAATTCATGAGACCTAACCTGGTGATCTTTTCCTGGGAGAGCACTGGGAAGGGCATGTTCTTCGTGAGGTAGTGTAGAGGTTCAATGGCTCGGGGTGTTTCGCTCCGTAGAAGTTTGTCGAATGAGCTTTCGAGTTGTGAATTGCCAGTCTTGACGAGGCGCTGAAGGTCGGCGACGGTTTGCTGTGTTGATCGGAGGTTGGAAGCCTTCATGTCGTTCAAGGCCTTGTTCAAGCGCTTGATGGACGCCAGGTAGTTGGACAGGCCGGCCTTTTCAGGGCCCATGCGGATGATTTGTTCTTCGTCATTCTTGCTGTCGGCGGGTGATCGTAGTTTCTCGATAGCGGCGATGACGGCGTCGATGTCTAAACACGAATGGCTATCGGTTAGCGTCCACTGCCGATGAACAACGTCATAGAGGGAGATATGGCGGCCAGGTGACTTGCTATTGCCCAGGACCTGGAGTTTCTTGGTCTCGCCGCTAAGAGGCCCAGCGACATCCCGAACACTCTTGCCCGTGGCATCCAACCTCCCCAGGCAGGCCTGAATCTTCTTTGTGAGCTGTGATGTCTTCTCGAGGCGCGAGTTCAAGACGTCGACCTCTGCCCTGGCTTCCTCATCGGCAGCAAGGCGGCCGTTGATGAGGCCGACAGCCATGGCTGTGATGTTGTGGTGTGATCCGAACCAAGCCAGGACGCGCCACGCGCTTCAATCGTCGGTAAATGGTATGTGGTACGTGATTCGGCAGGTCAGTTGCGGACTCGGACACGGAAGATGATGGACAACGGAGTCGGGAGGTCCAAGTGGAAGCCGGGAGTAGTCCGTTGGGATCCGGATGTGGCAGTCCGGTCCAGTAGGTCATCATTCAGGCCAGGCCTTTGACGCCCAGTTGGGCCCCTGGCCCCCCTAAACGCTAGGCGCGAGCCGCTCGCTAATTGCGCTAGCAGAGGGGCCCGGGCCACGTCCGAGTCCACCAAGCACAGGGGGGGGCCAAACGCCAGGTTGCACCAAAGTCCGGGGCGGGCAAGCGGGATCCGCCAATCCGCCCCGCTTCCCCGTGAACGCGGCCAATAGGGACCCACTTTCTCGCAGCAGTTCCAGGCTTGCGTGCCACTCATTGCACGATACGGACTTCTTCCCGAATCCCCATCAAGCTGAAGTCACTTTTTTCCTCCATCCTCCCAACCCCATCCAGCCATCTAAAATTGACGGGACGCATTGTCAGATCTGAAAACCTCATGCAACTATTCCAATCTCCGGTTTCTCAGATCCACTCTCAGCCTCACGGAGACGACCTTGTTTTTGACAACATTGGCCAACAGACTTCACAGGAGATGGAATCTTGGCCACAGTTCGACCCAAATTCAAGCTCCAAGATGACGTATATACAGAGTTGCCGACCTTAGTCACCTGAACTCTATTATGATAGTCATGAGTCAAAAATCACCGTCAGACTCGAGTTCAGCATATCTAGAACTAACTCTACGCCATCTTTCTTCAGCCGTGAAGAGAAAAAGGTCCAAACCCCATCAGCGAACGCCGTAACCAAGGCCATGCCCGTCAAGTACCTGAATGCTCTCAAGGAAAACCTGAACCCCTAGTGCGAATCTACAGAAGGAAAAACAACCAACAAGGGGAAAGACCATCAAGCCTTGGCCTTTGCCGCAAAGTAGTCGGCCACAAGCCGGCCTACCGATGCGGCGATCCACTCGACATCTTCTCGCGAGACGTTGAAGGCTGGCGAGATGATGATGTGGTCACCGGTATATCCGTCAACTGAACCGCCACCTGGATACACATTGATCCCATACTTATCGGTCAATCCCAGCTCACAGATTTCCATGCAGACATGGTCATCGGACGGGAAGGGGGCCATAGTCTCCTTGTCCGCGACAAACTCGATGCCCCAAAAGAGACCGCGGCCACGGATATCACCGACATTCGGATGACCTGCAAGGATCTCACGCAGCCTTGTCGACAGAAGATCGCCCATTGCCCGGACGTTGCTCAAAAGGTTCTCCTCTCGAATAATCCGCTGCACCTCCAGGGCTGCGGCACATCCGGCAGGATGACCCTGGTATGTGTGGCCATGGACGAAGACACTAGTCGGCTTTTGTTAGCACCTAGTCACTCTTTGACTGTCGAGAAAATAACTTACGAGGTACCCTTTTCGAGTGCGTTGACCACTCGGTGACCAGCCAGAAGGCCGGCTACGGGTTGGTAACCGCCACCAAGGGCCTTTCCGATCGTTTGGATATCTGGAACAATGCCCTCTTGCTCCCATGCGTGCAGGGTGCCGCTCCTCCCCATACCACACATCACCTCGTCAAGGATCAAGAGTGCGCCATACTTGTCACACACCTCCCTTACAGCTTTGAAGTAGCCCTTAACAGCAGGCACACATCCAAGGGCCTGTAATGAACGGTTAGCATTCGCAGACGCTAAACAAAGATATATGTCAGGCAACTTACAGCTCCAACAATGGGCTCAGCGACAAAAGCGCAGACATTCTCTGGTCCTACTCGCTGAAATTCCTCATCGAGCTCCTTGGCCAGTCTCTTCGCGTAGTCCTCGTCCGACTCACCGGGCGCTTTACCGCGGAATGCGTTGCACGGCGATACTCTCGAGACATTCTTTGTCAAGAGTGGCTCGAACTTGGCCCGCCGAACCTCGTGGCCACCGATGGCTAGTGCACCAAGAGTGATGCCGTGGTATGACTGCTTCCGGGAGATGAACAGAGTCCGTTGTGGCTGGTCAATCTCAAGGAAGTACTGCCTGGCCAGCTTCACAGCCGCCTCCATTGCCTCAGAGCCTGCAAAATGTCAGCTACTGTTGGGGCTAGTTAGGGAGTGATCGTCTTACCTGAGTTGACGATGTAAGCACGCGCCATGGCCCCATTCGTTGACTGGACTAAATCGCGGCATAGCTCTTCCTGGACCCTGGTGGTGTAGAAAATGGTTGCACAGTATGGCGCGGCAAGTACCTGGTTTGTGACAGCTTGGGCAACTCTCTGATTGCCCCAGCCAAGGCAACCGACCGCAGCGCCTCCCGAAGCATCGAATATCCTGCGGCCGTTCTCGAGGATGAGAAAATTACCTTCAGACCTCGTCATGTTCAAAAAGGTCGTATTCAGATTTCTGTGAAGAACTGCCGAGTCTTTGGAAGACGCCGTGGCATCCATGGCGCCAACCGTTGAATCGAGCTTTATCAGTACCATATCGAACGTACAAGGTTGACTCGGATTTTGAATAAATGAGGATATGAAGGACCAAGTGTGCGTGTCGTCAAGTGGCGGTGGATACAAAGAGAAGCGATTGCTCAAGGGCGAACTCTCGCCTTATCTATATATACTCAAAGATTGAACAGCCTGAACAGTCGGGACCCTGCCCAGCCCAGCTCATCAACAACAAGCATCCACTACACGTTACTATGACGGGGTCCAGGTATCGGATGGCTCGCGTGAACTGCCGGATACAGCAGGGCTATTCTCGGTGCGAGCGTTTGCCCGCTTGATACCGGACTGCATTCTCTACCAAGCCTTAGCCATGTGGATCAGCGGGTTCTAGCATGATTCGTGGACTTTACTGCAGCACCCCGGGCTAGTCGCCCGTCATCCAGCGTACCAAACTGTGCTAAAGTACGGCGTGTGTAAGTGTTTCCTCGTGATAAACGAGGGTTTGGGCAGACATGAGGTGCATGCCCGGATAGAGGTGTATTTGAGCCAGCATTGGTCAGTCTGGTGCGCCTTATACCTAACCTCCAAGCCGTGTCAAGCTGTGTACTCACCAGAATCCTGCTCGTTTGCCAATGGAGCATCACCCGGCCCGGACGAGGTGTGTACAGACTTTGAAGGGTATTAACCACGAGTTATACGTGTACCACGTGCAACAAGCGGGCTGCGCTCTGCCGCCTTCAATGCCTTCGAGTTGTCGTTGTGTTTGTGTAACAGAAGCTTCATCACTATACCGACTAACTATGGCAGAGGTACCCTATACCAGTGCCTATCGTTGAGAGCCTACCTACCATTGGAGCTTCGGCATTGAACAATGAGGGGTAGCGCGGCCAACAACTCAACTCGGCGTCCCGATCTCGGCCGAACGTGGTGCGTGAAACCCTTCCCGATGGAGAAAAACATTCTCTTTGTCACCCATTGCCTCTGCATTATCTCATCCCAGTTTCAAAAAACCAACACGTTGACACTTCTTCAAGGATCAGGCTCGGTGAGAACTGTGTCTCTATGATTGCTACACGTTCCCGCTTCCGGAACTATTCGACAACGTGTTCTGCCGCTCATCCGGGTCTTTCTCAGCCCAGTCAAAATTTACCTGGTGTCCATTGGATTAACCTCCCCTTTTCGGTTGCCCTATTCGGGCCCGGACGATTGGCACGGACCATCGGCACACCCATCTCTCGTCGCTGCCGATGCAGGCCTTTGTGCCGGCCGACTGTTCCTAGAGTGACTACGGCCTGTGAGACTACATACAGCTCATCTCTATGTTGTCCCCTCTAACCTTCAACCTTGCCACCTAGACCGACACACACTCTCTATGCGCTGACCCGAACTTGATATTCTTTACAGATACCAATAAAACGCACATGTCTAGTGCTGACGATGCCCTCCCATGTGCTACGGATGCATGGCAATATTCACCACGACACTGGCCACTATCCTTACCAAAGTGCAACTCGAAATGGGAGCACTGATTACTGATTAGCTGACAACCAGACATGTTCTTGTCTCGGGTTTGGTGGCTGTCAGAAAATCGAATTCATCCCCGACCATCAACAATAGCGTTGTCGATAGGCCTCTTTCTCGTGGGCCGTACCCTGCATCAACGGTGCTCGGGGAGCGGCCATCCCTTTCCAAGTACCTCAGTTGTGAACGAGGCCGCTCACTCGCCTGGTGGTGTGACCGCCAGTGCCGATGCCACGGCTATGTGCCTAGGCTGTCGTTCGTCGGATGTGTTGTTGAAGCCATCTAAGCTCGCACCTTTTTGTAACAAGACTACTGAATATCATAGGACACTAGGTGCCGGATCGTGGTTTGTCCTACTTCAGCCTCCCTGTCTTACCTTGCACAATACCAGCATATGCAAATGAAACATTAGGCTTAGTTTTCAAGGCTTGCGGGTAATTCTACACCACAAAGATCATTTCTTCGTTGACGATACCTTCTTATTCCGTCCTGGTGTATTGACTAGAAACCAACCTCAAGCATATCAGAACGCCCCTTGGACTAAGGATGCTCCAGGGTCAACCAATATTGATTTTCTTCGGCTGTTGGAACTTCATGATCGGGTGAATGTACGCTGTCAGGCCAGACTTTTGGAATCCTTATTGATCACATAAAACGAGGCATCACACAGATAGATGATCCTAAAGGAGCGAAACTATTGATTCAAACCCTCCTGAGTGTCGTGCGGGTAATAATCACCCCGTGCATTGCTCAGCACGGCAGCTTGCTCATCTAGACGAGATAAACTGCCGCTTACCGCTCCTCCTCGCAACGGCTGTTCGGCATGAGACGGGAATGTCGAGTCAGACCTGGTTCCGGTTCAACATAGGGCCAGACGGCTGCCAAGGTCGGGAAGCAACTGAACGACCATCCGACAAATCGATTGGAATAGTAGTCAGGCTCGTGACAGTTCATCCCGCGGCGCATGAAAAGAATATGAGACCCTTTACCGTTTAGAGCGGCAGTTACAGCACATTACTGTAACGAACCGCGTCATTCCGAAGACGTCCCAGCCCACCGGGAACCAATTATTGTGCCTGGATGACGGAGCTGTACGACATGGAACAACAACAGCACTCTCTGTTGACAGTAAGGATGGTTCAGTTTTCGTTGTCCCGCCCGTCGAACAAAATCGTACGACTAGAATAGCGGGAGACCAGAGAATGTCGTAACATAAGTCATGGCGAACGACATGAAGTTGATGCCCCCTAAGTTACTATAGCCATCCCAGCAAACGGGCAACGACGGCTCAACTTAGAAGGGGCGGAATTCAGAACGATAAACACAAAAATACTTGACGCTCGAAGCCCGATGGGGTTTTCTGGTCGGGTACGAAAACCATAAAAACAGAGCAACTGAAGGATGTGCCGAACCGTTGCAGGATTTGGGTGAAAGCCTCAAACATTACTGCCACCGCTAAAGTAGAACGGATGTAGGGCAGCAAGGACCGGGTAGGAGCATCTTCTACCGGACCGGTGAAAGTAGATGGAGCATGTGAAGGAAGCAGGAGAGAGCGTGATTATGAGGATCCTTCAAGGATAACAAGGTGAGAATGGGACGGTGCACTCTGCACTCTTACTCTCACCTTGGAGCCTTCAATAATCATTACCAGGCTTGCCCTGGATATCAGGTTTTTTTTTTTTTTTTTTCTTACAGGTTCATGATAATCTTGCTGTACATGTTGCCTTTGACCTTTGATTTCGACAGCCGTCTGTTGGCTGGTAGAGTAGATAACCCAAGAAGTAGATGAACTAACTATCCTCAAGCGCTCAAGGCATCTATCCCATTTCACGCATTGATAGTAACGAGCACTTTGTTTCACCCAGGTCGTCGCCCACTTAAATATTGTCCCGTGGCTATACTTGCTAACACATATCATGGCACAACCGCAAAGGGTGATGCTTGTAATTCAAGAGGTTGGAAAACACAAGTGTCTTCGAGGTACACATGCTTGTGATCAACGCTACTGAAGCCGGATTATCCCCACGACTCCTTAAAGTTGTTATTGTCTTTTGTCGCTTCCGTGGCAACACAACACAGCCTTGCTCTCTGAGCAGTTTCCACAGCGGTACGGGATCAGGGGCCTGCCGAGGGACGGACTAGTTCTAAAAGATGCTCCGCAGAGCTACATACGGTGAAGTCAATTGAGTCTTCGACGTCCGAATGAACAAGTTAAAGAAATTAAAGAGGTCCAAAAAAGAGACGGTTGACTTGGAAGGCGTAATACTCATGGTTGTTTTGTTATTGAGAGCATTCATCAACTTGTGGAGAAAGTCTAAAGGGACGAATACTGGTGTAAGTGGTAAGGAACGGAATATTACAGATTTCCCGCTGCAAGTCACTGGTAATGACGGTATCAGGTACAGCCCCGCTTGTATCAATTAAGCCCCCTGTCCGAGGCAAGGAGTCTAGCGTGTAGTTGACGCGTTTTCCACTTAAATCGTTTTGTCACTTTTCCACCGTGGCGGCTCCGCAAACTATGCGAAGGTACATGCGCCCAAACAAAACATCTCGACTCTCTTTCCCCTCCAACAACCAATTTTGGACGACAAGAACGGAGGCCATCACGAATACCTACCATTACTCCGCGTCCGACAACCCTTGTTGCTTTTTGTTTCCCGTCTGTGACGTTGCTGGCTTGAAAGAGTTGTACTTTTGTTGCTTAATATTTTCTCAAGATGGATTACAATGCCCTCCGCGACGAGGCCGCACGCGACCGCGTGCGCCAGGCCCAAGAGTTCCTCGATCCTCGTATGTTGAAGCTCACAGCGGATTCTGGCCCCTTGTTTGCGACCGAAGAATTGTGACAAAACTAACCGAGAACCTCACCTACAGATGACCAGCACCAGCGAAGCTACAGGCCAGACATTGTGTTGATGCTCCAGAAGAACCAGAGGAGACTCGTCGTCAACATCGATCATGTCCGCGATCACAGCTCTGAGATGGCCGAGGGCCTTCTTACCGACCCCTTCAACTGGACCCTCGCCTTCAACCACGCGCTCAAGACCATCGTCAGCACCGTCCCACAGGCCCGCCCCGATCAAATAGATCCCGACGTCTTGTACTATTGTGCTTGGGCTGGATCCTTCGGTCTACACACATGCAACCCGAGGACACTGTCTTCCCAACACCTCAATAGCATGGTTTCGATCGAGGGCATCGTAACGAGGACGTCCTTGATCCGCCCAAGGTTGTCAAGAGCGTACACTACAGCGAAGCCAAGAAGACATTCCACTACCGCGAGTACCGCGACCAGACCATGACGAACGGCATTGTCACCAACAGCGTCTACCCCCGTGAGGACGAAGAAGGCAACCCGCTCGAGACCGAATACGGCTTCTCGACCTACCGCGATCATCAGACCATTTCTATCCAGGAAATGCCGGAGAGGGCGCCTGCTGGTCAGCTGCCCCGAGGCGTCGACGTCATTCTCGACGACGACCTGGTAGACCGCGTCAAGCCCGGCGACCGTATCCAGCTCGTCGGTATCTTCCGGACGTTGGGTAACAGAAACACAAACCACAGTAGCGCCCTGTTCAAGACGGTCATTCTAGCCAACAACATCGTTCTGCTTTCTTCCAAATCAGGCGGTGGTGTGGCTACGGCTACCATTACCGACACGGATATTCGCAACATCAACAAGATCGCTAAGAAGCCAAAGGTTTTTGAGCTGCTTTCACAATCCCTGGCTCCCAGTATTTACGGACATGACTACATTAAGAAGGCTATCCTGCTCATGCTGCTGGGCGGCATGGAGAAGAATTTGGAAAACGGTACACATCTGAGAGGTGACATTAACATCCTGATGGTTGGTGATCCTTCCACAGCCAAGTCCCAGCTCCTTCGTTTCGTCCTCAACACTGCTCCATTGGCGATTGCCACGACTGGTCGTGGTTCTTCCGGTGTCGGTTTGACTGCCGCTGTCACGTCCGACAAAGAGACTGGCGAGCGTCGTCTGGAGGCCGGTGCCATGGTTATGGCTGATCGAGGCGTCGTCTGTATCGATGAGTTCGACAAGATGTCTGACATTGATCGTGTTGCCATTCACGAAGTCATGGAACAGCAAACTGTCACCATTGCCAAAGCCGGTATTCACACCTCGCTCAACGCCCGTTGCAGTGTCATCGCCGCGGCCAACCCCATCTTTGGACAGTACGACACACACAAGGACCCTCACAAGAACATTGCCTTGCCAGATTCCCTGCTTTCACGTTTTGATCTTCTCTTCGTCGTCACCGACGACATCGAGGACACCCGTGACAGACAGATCTCCGAGCACGTCCTCCGCATGCACCGTTACCGCCAGGCCGGCACCGAGGAGGGCGCTCCTGTTCGCGAGAATGCCGGTCAGGCCCTCAACGTTGCCCTCAACGGGCAATCAGAGTCCCAAAAGCCCACCGAAATGTGGGAAAAGTACGACGCCATGCTGCACGCCGGCATCAAGGTGCCCAGCGGTCGCGGGTCCGCCAACAAGAAGCCCGAGATCCTCAGCATCCCCTTCATGAAGAAGTACATCCAATACGCTAAGACGCGCATCAAGCCCGTCCTTACCCAGGAGGCATCCGACCGCATCGCCGACATCTACGTCGGTCTGCGCAACGACGACATGGAGGGTAACCAGCGCAAGACCTCACCCATGACGGTCCGTACCCTCGAGACGCTCATCCGTCTGGCCACGGCCCACGCCAAGGCGCGACTGTCCAACCGCGTCGACGAGCGTGATGCTGCCGCCGCCGAGTCCATCCTCCGCTTCGCCCTCTTCAAGGAAGTCGTGCAGGACGAGTCGCGCAAGAAGCGCAGAAAGACTCGGCCCGCCGAGGGCGAAGATGGCGGCATGTCCTCGGACTCTGACGATTCCGATGATGATGACGGTGACGTTGCCACGCAAACCACCGCCACCGCCCGCTCCAGCGCCGCCAGAGCTTCCCGTGCTTCCCGTGCTTCTCAGCGCGCCGCTGCTAGTCGACGCACTCCCGCTGCCAATGGCACCTCTGCTTCCTCCTCCGCCAACGCCAACGCCAACGGCACGCCCGAAGAGGAAGATACCCAACCCGCGGAGGAAGAAGAAGAAGAAGAAGAAGAAGAAGAAGATATCTACGACGCCACCCCGCGCCGCTCAACAAGATCTGGTGGAGGAGGAGGAGGCTCACAACCATCCTTCGCCTCCTCCCTTCCCGCCTCCCAGTTGCGATCCACACGCTCTCAACGCTCCTCTCGCCGCACTGGCACCGCCGCCGCTGATGACGACGAGGAAGACGAAGAGTCGCAACTCACATCCCGTGCCGCAGGCCTGAACGTTGCCGGCGAAGATGAAGAAATGGACGTGGACGGTGAGGAAGCACCCGAAGACCAAGAAGAGGAAGACGAAGACGAAGAAGAAGAACCAGCACCAATAAGCGAACACCGTCTCGACGTCTTCCGTCGCGCGCTCGGTCCGTTGTTGAACTCGGGCCTTTTCGAAGACGACGCGGCGGATGTGGATGAGTTGATCAAGGCTGTTAATGAGAAGATTCCTGGAGGCAGGAGAGGTGGTGAGCAAAAGTTTGAGAAGGAGGAGGCGCTGCAGGCGTTGAGGCAGATGACGGAACAGAATCAGTTGATGTGAGTAGCCCAACCCACCTCCTTCCATTGATACGGCGAGAAGTGGTGATGATGAGGAATGGTGCTAACGTTGTTTGACGATAGGTATACCGATGGTCAGTTGGTTTATAAGATCTAGTCTGGTGGGCTGGACAGGTGAACCCTGGTTTGGTGTTGTTGAGATATTGGTAGGGATGATGTTATGTGGATCTAACAGATATGGATGAGAAAAGTATTATGGCGGATATGGTTTAGACAGAGAGCCATGTCATAAACAGCCAGGTTTTGTCATTGATGGGCAAAGGGGTTTGGCGTTACTGCGGCAATGAACTTGATTTCACTCTGGCTTCTGAACATGCCGTCTATTGATATTCAAGTCTTCAAGGCATGCTATTATGTAGGTTGGAGAATATGTAACAACAACGCTCACGATCAGAACCAAACGCCACCCTGCATCAAAGCTTATCCCCTTTTCCCGACATTCTCAACTAAGCAACCATGACGCATGATTTAACCACAGTGGGAAACAATCTCGCTGATAAGCTCCTTCTTCTCGGCATCGTAGTACGAGCAAATCTGTGAAGGAAGAGGAAGCTCCTTGGAGTCGTCGTTCTCGTCCACAACCATAATGTTGACGTTGTCCGTCTTGCTCTGGAACACTCTCGTCGCGATGCTCTCTTTGCTCAGCCAGATTGTCGCCTGCTCGACCTGATCCAAGAGCACAGTGGGAATGATTTCGTTGACCTGGAGCTGGAAGTTCTTGGACCTAACGACGTCGACAGTAGAGACAAGAGTGTCCACAATGAGCGACACCTTGTCGGAGTTGTCAATGTTGACAGCGTTGGCCTTGCCCTTGATGACGATGACAACGCCGTTACACCTGCTGATGAGGACCGACTGCGAAATAGAGCCTTCGATCTCAACGTTGCCGTCGGCAGCAGTATAGTTTTCCTAGAAGCGCTGTTAGACCCATGTACACAAAAGAACGCCCGGTTTGGAAACTTACAATGATCCATTTGTTGCCCTCGAGCGCCTTCTTTGCAGGCTTCTTTGCACGCATGCTCTCTGGCTTGGGCGGCCTGGTTCCAGGGGGCGCAGGGCTCTTGGAACGGGTCACGGGTCCATCGGGAACAGTTGATCCTGCCCTGAGAGAAGGGTTCTTGTGTGTCATCTGCGACTTGTCGACCTTCTTGAGACCCGCTGTAACTGCCTCGCCCTTGCTGAGCTCAGACATGACGGAACTGAAACCGCCAGCCTTGGCCGGTTCCGCTTTCTGCTCATTGATCTTGAGCACGGGGGGAGGTCCAGGAGGAGGAGGGGGCGGGGGAGGAGCACCTCCAGCTGGGGCAGGAGGCGCGGGAGGTGCAGAGGTAGCGCTGCCGGAGCCAAGAGTCTGGACAACCTCCTTGTAGGACTTTCCGTTGGGGTTCCACACGATGCCGTTGTTGAAATACTCCTTGGTATAATCCGACAAGTCCTTGAAAATCTGGTAGAAGGTCTTTACCCATTCGGTGTGCTGGGGATCAGTGTTCTTATTGGCCTGCATGACTCTGTTGCCCATGTACTCGGCAGATGAAAGGCTCTCGTCAATGAGCTTATTAGGCTTGGCCTGGACAGTGATCCACGCGAGGAGCATGATGCCGTCGGCCACCATGCTGAGGTGGTTGAAGAAGGGTGAACCGCGGTTCTTGTCCTTAATTTCCTGAACGGCCTGGATGGCGTCGCTGATAGGCTTAATAGCCTCCTGAAAGTCGCCTGAGTTCATGTCGAGCTTCTTGGACTGAGAGGCGGCGTAGATAAACTTGCGCGTCTCGACAAAGCCCTTGAGTACACTGGCAGCCTAATCAAAACGGTCAACTTCTCGCTCTATGTCGACCAAATAGTTCCGCAGTCTGCTGGGTAGGTACCTGCTCGGCAACCAAGCCACCAATAACATTGCTGGTCTTGACATATTTTTGAACAGTCTGGCTCATGCACTCGTCGAATTTCTCAACCGACTCGGGAACTGGTGGTGCGGACGGCGCGGGCGCAGCAGGAGCGGGAGGAGACACGGCAGTGGACGCGGGGGCGGAGGGAGCGGGCTCGATAACGGTCTGGGAGCCGCTAAGGGGGATGGTGGACGAAGCCATATCCTCCAGACGGAGGGTGGCCGCCTCAAGTCTGCGCAAGTACTTAGCAATGTGCTTTGACAACTAATCACTCGGAGTCTTTCGAGATTCGCGGCGGTTTTCCTGGCGCATTCGTTCCTTCTCGGGGACAGGTCCCTCCTCGTCGTAGCCGTACAGCGGCTCCCATGGAATCGACATGGCTAATGATGCGCCAGGATAATGAAGATTTTGAAGGAGTGTTGTAAAGATAGAGCCACGTTCGTAGGTGGTGTTGCGATTTCAAGTTGCGGTAAGGAAAGTTGAAGCGTACCTCTTGATCAAGGTGACCAAGTTGTGCATGTTGTTGGTCGCCATCGTGATTATGATGGTCCCTTAGGGCGGGACTTTGGAAACGTAGAGTTCGATTTCGAGCAATAGGAAAGGCTGGAAGGAGCAAGTTGTACTCTCTTATTAGAACTACCGGTGCCAACTTGCGGTATTAGCGACCCTGTTTCGAGGTAAAGAGACGAAGAGTGGGCAGGCCCGGATGCCTCCGGTGGATGATGGTTCACTGCGGAACAGAGACAGGAGGGGAGGTGTCTTCTGAGGTACTCGATGAGAAGCACTTACCTTATTCGCCGTGACGTATAATCAAGAAAACAACACAAAAGATATTGCTAGATGAAGGAAAGAGAAGAAAAGGATCCCGAAATTAGAACGAGGGGGAGGTCGGGGAAGGTGTAGTTGATGATCTGCCTGGGCTGGAACATGGGGATGTCAAGCTGACGGGTCAACACTCGACGTCGGTTGGAACCCCTCGTCACACCCCCTAGCGTCCGCCCCTGGCGCCTGCCATGCTTGTCCGGGCGGCCACACTACGGCACCCTCCTTCTGTAGACGCAGGCTGAGGAGCTCTTTCCCCACGATGAAGCTTCATAGTGGGGTCATTGTGGGTCGTCTCATCCAATCTCTTAAAATTACGCGTTTCGGGCCACTTTCCAAGAACACCTTGCTGGCCATTCTCACGACTCTTCAGCGCACGGTCACTAAAAGTCGCTGAGAGTATAGGCAGCATCCACGCCTCAGCCATCAATACCACCCCACCAAAACATAAACATCGAGATGTCGTATCGTGCTACTTTCAACTGAATCAAGAAAACCAACTCTCCTGCTTCAGAAACCTCGTTGCCCGTTATTTGTGTATACGAGGAGGGTCTTGCTGATGCTTAGAGACACCAAGGTAAGTACGCACGCAAGCACCTCAGTTGTCCAAGGTATCAACAATCAGATGACAGGTTCGACTCTTCCGATAAACTCAGATCCCCTTCCTCCGTTCATACGCCTTGTAGTGATAAACCCACCCCAGATCGCCTATCCCAGCTAATAAGATATCGAGTTATCAAGATATCAGCCTCATCGTGGTTTATGCCGCCTGATGGTCGGGCAGGAATAGCAGACTAGGAATAGCCTAGCAGTAGCCAGTACCTTAGCCACATCACTCACAATTCACGCGTCCATCTTTCTATCTTCATCCCTCCATCGGTGTCTCAGTCTCATATCCCCTTTCGGTGTCACTCACTTGACTCACTTCCACTTGCACATCAGTTGCCCTGGTGCTGAGCCGTACTTACACATACTCCTTTCAAGCATCACTCACCGTCCATTGACCCTTCTACATTCACCTTAGAAGAAACATGGCAGACAACAGTAACCCGGAAGTGCCCGGTCAAAGCCCAAACGACAGTGACAAAGCCTCCGACGAGGGTTCAGAATGGCAAGATATCAACGATACTCCCTCAATAGACTTTGTCACCCTTGGCATGTTCATCATCGGTAAGTGGTAACAATATTCCCGTTCCAAGAATCATCAGGCGCCGACCCAACTAACCAACTCGACAGATGAAATCGAGTATCCTCCACCCCGTCCGCCATCCACCAACGTCCTCGGAGGCGCCGGTTCCTACTCCGCCCTCGGCGCCCGCCTGTTCTCCCCAGCCTCGGACCTCTCCCGCACCGTAGGCTGGATCGTCGACCAGGGCTCCGATTTTCCCCAAGCCATCACGGATCTCATCAACGGGTGGTCCACCTCTGCCGTGTTCCGCCATGATCCGAGCCGGCTCACCACCCGGGGCTGGAACGGCTACGTGGACTCCTCGGAGCGTCGCGAGTTCAAGTACACCACGCCCAAGAAACGACTAACGGCTGCTGACCTGACCGGAACCCCTTTACTAAAGGCCAAGGCGGTGCACATGGTTTGCAGTCCTAACCGCTGCAAAGAGTTAGTGGAGGAGATCATCACGCTTCGCAAGCGTGAGGCTCGACTTGCCGCCGCCTCCAGGCAAAAAGACGACGACGATGAGGACGACGATGACAAAGACGGCTACACCCGCCCTCTAATAATCTGGGAACCAGTCCCCGACCTCTGCACACCCTTCGAACTTTTAAACTGCACCAACGCCCTGCCCCTCATCGACATTTGCTCCCCTAACCACGCCGAACTAGCCGGGTTCATGGGCACGGACGGGCTCGACCCGGAGACGGGCCAGATCAGCGTCGAGCAAGTCGAAAGGAACTGCGAGCAGCTGCTGGCTAGCATGCCACTAACAACATATACGCTGGTGGTCAGGGCGGGCGAAAAGGGGTGTTATGTTGCTAGGAACGGCGGGCGGAAGAGGAAACAGCAACAACCCATGAAAAAGGGGAAGAAAAAGAAGGCGGTGGTAGGCTTAGACGCCCGCAACTTCCACGGCGGTCTCCAACCAGACACAGACATGATGTCTCTCTTCGCCGGCCTGTTGCAGGACATGCAAGATCGCGATAACGAAGATGACCCGTTCGGTCGGTTCGATGATACTGAACAAGATGGGGGCATCGAGGTCGATCCGGGGATAGAGAGGTGGTTATCTGCTTATCACACGGACGCGTCCAAGGTGGTGGATCCCACGGGCGGTGGAAATACATTTCTGGGAGGGCTGGGGGTGGCGCTTGCTAGGGGGAAGAGTATCGAGGAGGCGTGCGCGTGGGGTAGCGTGGCGGCCAGTTTCGCGATTGAGCAGGTGGGCGTGCCGGAGCTAGGGAGGGATGGCGAGGGGAGGGAGGTTTGGAATGGGGAGAGGGTGGAGGAGAGGTTGAGGGGGTACGTGGAGAGGGTTGGGTTGATGATCTGAGTAGGTAGCTTTGTGCGAAAGATGATGGAGGTGAGAGATAGAGTGGGGAGTTTTTCACTGAGCGCACGCAACGGCTAGGCGCTTGGCTTGCTTGTCAAGATGATGATGGGGAAAGAAGAAGACTTGATGATTATGACTTGCAGAAAGCGGAATAGTTATAGACGGTTGGTATATAGGTGCAAGTTTTCGTGGTCTAATTTGTAGCCTGTTTAGCTTAACAAGGAGAGGCGTGGGATATGGGTTGTGAGCTCAGTGGTACTAGATACTGGAAACAGAAATCGTCGTTAGTTCGGGTACAGGTTCGATTGCTGTACGGGCTACTTTTTTTTCCCTTCTTGCTTCCCTCTCTGTGATCTTTGTTGGGACTTGTTCACTACTTTTATACGGTAAATGCGTCAAAATATTCTGATGCATTTGGTCGTGATATGATGTGTTCAGGTGGTTTCTTACGACCGACCGCTCGAGCGGTAAGTTGAATGATAAGGATAGATAGCCGAATTGGAGGATGGTTTAAGAACCAAAACATGCTTATACGTTAACACGGTTCGAATCATATCACATTTCAGAACACAACAGAACAGAATAATGATCACGATCAGTGTGAAGTGGGATAGGAGGTGATACAAATTTTCTTTCTTTCATATGCCAGTTACCCCAAAAAACCTTAAGCTAGATGTAAAATACAGATGGTATAAACGATATAAGAAACATGACATAGCTCGAAATGGACTGGTACAACATGCATGCTACTGTTCTTCTTTCTTCTTTCTTCTTTCTCTTCCTTCCTCCTTCCCCCTTCTTCTTCCTCCTCCTGTATCCGCCTTTCGGATTCTCTGTGTCTTTTTCCTTATCCAAAAACCCTTTCCTTTCATGTCCTTCCCTTCTTCTTTCTTCTTTCTTCTTCCCTTCCACCATTCCGGTCTTCGACTTTCCGCATCCTAACCAAAACTCCACAGCCTATAGCTTAGATCTTGGCCTTGGGAGCCTCGAGAGTAGGGGTGAGGAGATCGCGGAGGTCGTTGGCGGCCTCGTTGAGGTAGTAGCTCATCCTATCGGAGCCGAGGCCCTTGGAGACGATGTTGAAGTTGAGGCTGTTCACACGATTTCGTTAGCACGTTGTTAGCGAAGACACAAGGGAAAGGGTAGAACAAACCTGTTCTCGTTAATCATGTAAGCAATACCGAATCCCTGGTCAATAACCTGGCTCCATCCGTATCCGTTGAAGAACTCGGAAGACAGCTGGGAAGTAGACAGGTACCACGAGCTGGAGTAGCTGTAGGCGGGGTCCTGGTAGAGGGCAGGGACCTCCTGGCCGGGCTCGAGAAGGCGCTTGAGGCCGAAAAGGTGACGGTCGACGCCCTTGCCGTCGGAAGCGGCAGAGATGTACTCGAGGTGGGAGTCGATGGCCTTGCGGAAGAGCTCGACCTTGGTCTTGTCGTTAACGGAGGCATCGTTGGCGGCCTTGCAGAAAGCCACGCTGGCCTCGCTGACGGAGCGGCACGTCTCGGTACGGCCCTGCTGGAAGCGGCGGGTGGCGGCCGACTCGTAGGTAGGGCGGTTCTTGCCGTACATCTTGTAGTAGGCGAGCTGGATGATCATCTGCACGAAGGCATCGGGAGAGCACTTGAACTTCTTGATCAGGCCCTTGCCGTAGCCCTGGTAGGCCTGCACGGCGAGCTGGTGCTGGCCGATGACGTTGGTGAAGTCGGTGACGGCGCGGTCGATCTCGGCCTGGACCTCCTTGGTGACGGTGAACTTGACGGCCTCGGGCTCGGGCAGGTTGGAGCGAACCGAGGGGTCAGAGAAGTCGAGCTTGTTGTTGAAGATGACGTCGTTGACGAAGTCGTTGAGGCGGTGGGTGGGAGTGCCGTCCATCATGCTGTGCTCGCCCATGAAACCGGCAGTGCCGTTGTCGTTGACGATGAACTGGAGAGGCTTGTCATACCAGCGGTTTTGGCCGTCACCGTGCCAGTACTGGTGAGCGCGCTCCTCGAGGGTGACGGGGGCGGCATCATCAAGGCAGACGACGAAGGAAGAAGCCTCAATGGCCTCGAGAGCCTTGGCGTTCTTGGGGTCGGCGGAGAGGAGAGTAGCGCGGGCGTCGGTCCAGACGTCGCGGTTCTCGGAGGTGAGGGCACCAACGGCGGGGGCGCGCGAAGCGGCAAGCTCGTAGACGTGCTTGAAGGCCTGCTCGAGCTCAGCGGTGTTGAGCTGCTTGCCACCAACCTCGTGGTAGATCTTGTAGAACTGGTTCTTGCGGATGGCAAGGATGTACTTGTGCTCATCGGCGCTGAACTTGACGGGGTAGTCGGCGGGCTTGGCAGCAACACGGCTGGCGTTGAACATCCACTTGTAAGAATCCATGCAGATGGGGAGCTTCTTCATGTACTCAGGCTCGAGAGTGCCCTGGTCGACCATCTTCTTGAACTCGAGAGCGGCGGTGGTGATGGCAGCGGCGCGCTTGGCGGGGTCGCGGCGGCGGCGGTCATCGCGGTGGGAGTAGAAGTAGCTGACGTAGGGGACAACGGGGTCGCGGTAAGTGAGGTAGGCCGCATCGTTCCACCACTCGTAGATCCAGTTCTTGTGCTTGGGGTCCTCGCGACGAGCGACGAGCTGCTCCTGGAGCTTGCGACCAGGGCCATTGGGGGCAATGAAGGCGTCAATGGCCTTCTTGCTGTTCTCGAGCTCCTGGGGGCTGAGAAGGGGCTTCAGAGACTGGTAGTAGCGGGCAGCCGTCTCTTCGAGGGTAGGGACGGGCAGACGGGGGAGAGAGTTCTGGAAGCGGAGCATAGGGCCCTTGGACTTGTCCTCGACATAGCCAGCGGGGAGGGAGCTGTTCTTCCTTGTTTGCGCCATGGCGGAGATTCTCTGAAGCGCAGGAGAAGAGTCAGTCAGTCAGTCGCGTGTGCGCAACATGGAAGGGAGGCCGTTCATGGCTTACGTTAAGAGGGGAAATAGCAGCAGAAGTTGGTTGTCTAAAGAGGTGTCTAAGCGTAGTAGACCGAGCCTCAGATCGTACAATGGAAGCCAACATTACTCAATAACCACGGACGACTGTGGAGCTAGGAAGAAGAGGAGGAGGAGAGAAAAGAAAAGTAGCAAGCAGTGAGGACGGGGAAGGGAAAGCGGGAGGCGGAAAAAGGAAAATAAGAGAAAGCTGGGCAGTGAGGCAGACGCGGGAGGCGAGGCAAGTCGCAAAGACGGGGCAGGCCGGGGAGCGGTGGGTATGATGTACACCTTGAGGGGTGCTGCCGAACTACGACTCGGTAGCTCGGAATAAGTGGACACTTTTGGGCACTTGTCTCGTGGATATTATTTACTCGCGGAGGTGGCCCATGGGGGAATGGTGGCTGTCAATGGAGGAGACGGGGCAACAAGAACGGGGTGAGGGACCGGGGCACGGGAGACTTTCCACCACCGACATGAAACCTTGGCCGGTGGACTTGTATCAGGGTACCTTGAAGGGTATACTTTTGCAGGCCGAGGCTTTGTCTCCAAAACTGGAAGATATAAAATCTCACCAATGCTACCCCCCACGACTAAGAAGAAAACCTACGGTATTATCTACTCACCATGTCGTCGACCAATGTCACATCTATTCGTTCAAATCAGATCCCATGATCGTGGTTGTCCATTTGATTCCGCACTCGTGGTACCTGTCTGTTCTCATTCCATCTCATGTATTGTACCTTGTGTGTCTGTGTACCCGCGTTCGCGGGCACGTTTCCGCCCACACGTTCTTCCATCTCTCCCCATTTCCCCCATCCCCATCTCTTTTTTTTTTTTCCACTTCTCCAAATTTCCGCTCAACTGGGATTGGATTGGGAGAACCCGAAAACGTGGGGCAAGTTTGCTGTCTGGACCGCTGGAAATGATATGAAGAGGCCGAGCATACGCCGTAGGCTACGTACACTAGAGGACAGGACAGAGAGGTACAATGAACAAAAAAAAAGTGGATGCGCTTGTCCGAGTGACCGACTGCGACTGGGGCCCCGTTTACCCCTCGAGCCGAGGCTCAAAGTAGCCGACGGCATTGACGATTTGCCAAGAAAACAATGGCTCTCTCCCCCAGAGTCCCAGACAGGAACAAAGAGGCGCGAATCCGAACTTGCACCCCACGTTTTGCCGGTGGATGTCTTCTTCCTCACTCGCTGAACTTGAACTGAACCCAAATGAAGTTCAATCAATACGACCGAAAGCACCTCTTTTCATCCCGCCGCGCCGTTCATCGGGATCGAAGGTCCGTTGATCTTCATTGGATTGGTGCGTATCACATCATGTCAAGTCAAAGCTCATCCCATCCATATGTCCGGCTCGTCTTCTTATGTATGTAGTGTATGCGCATCAGGCACATCACTCACCTCCATCCGGCATCACAGAGACAGACGGGTCGGGTGTGCTGCTGACTTCGCAAAAAGTGGAAGTCACACGCGCATTTGACTTCCCTTCCATCACTTCACATTTCCAACTACCGATAATTGAACTTTGCTTGCTGCTGACAGACTGACATGCTGTCCTACCCTCCATCTTCTTCAAATCAACCATTCAGTTCCTTTCCGTCTTCAGTGTCCCGAACTGTTTCTCCAAATATGACATGGGAACTGAAGAAGCCCCAACAAGTCACGTCACCTTTCCACTTCAGTCTTCAACTCTTTGCCCACCCACTCTGGGGTTGCGGCGGGTCTCTGCGGGTTAGCGGATGCCGGAAATGAGAAAGCGTATGAGCCATATGATTGGTCAGCTGAGGTTCCACGCTTGGGACGCTTTCACATGTCATCCACTGCAAGGTCAACACCATAAAGAAGCAACCACAGACATGTTACAGAAGGCTGCAGAATTTCAGGAATCTCTCGAGAGAAGGCTCGACGGTTAGACGGCTGCTAATGTAACGTGCAGCGTGAAAGCCATGAACATTTAAGAATTATTACTGTGCTTACACGTTGATATGCACGTGTTGCGCGTTCGCCATTGGGGAATCCCTGCTGTTGATCTGTGAACATCACGAATTGGGAGAAAGTCATCCTCTCGCGTTGAGTTATTACTCGTCAGGGCTCGAATCGCCTTTCTGACGCTGACCTACCGCCCTGACGAGTACCTCTACAACTTCTTTTTGTCTTTTTTTTTTTCTTTTCAACGATTATTCTGATCCATGTGTCTATACACAGCTAGGAGACACGTGTGAGCTTGATATTTCGCACCAGACAGACTACAGAGACCAAAGCTAAAAGCACGCAGCCCAATTTTGTAGCCTATAAACCTAGCAATAACACAACTCCTGATTGTCCAATGTTGACGCCTGTACGTAACACAGCGAGAATCAATAGGGAAAACGAAAATAAGAGCACTTAAACGGTGATGATTCCATTCTCTTTACATCAAGATCCGGACCGGATGAGTACCGTTACCGCTACCGCCCGCCCATTCACCCGACCAACACCCGGAGAGCGGAAGTAGGAAGTAATACTTCTAGTAGTAACATTATACAGAACTTGTACCAGATTCCGCTTGTCGACCGTCACGCGTTTAACATATAAGGAGGCGCGTGGGAGTTCATCCACTGCCCTTCCGTCAACGGTTCCTGGGCGAACATGACGCCCTGGTCTGCACCAACAGCAGCGGCCGCCTCGAGTCCTTTTTGCTCGGTGGCATCTTATGCCTCGTATGACTTTACCTGGCCTTCTGTACTCAGGGGCTGTACTGACCCAACCGCCGGCGGCGCGTTGAAGCTCATCCGTTGCCCGTCCGTCAACGCTTCCTGGGCCAACTTGACGCCCTGCTCTCCACCAACAGCAGCGGCCGCCTTGAGCCCTTCTTGAACCTCGCGCACCCTCTTCTTGAACGATAGGCGGTCCAAGAACAACTGCTGGCGAGCGCGCTCGAGTTCTCGCCTCTCGGCTTGCAGGATGGCCTCCATCTCGTTGAAGTACTTGAGCTTCAACTCCATCTTCTCCAGTGTCACGTTCACCGCTGCCGATACCAGACGGGTCATCTCCCTCTCTTCATGCGAGGCAAGGCCGCCGGCTCTGGCGCCCATGGTCGCGAGCGGGATGTTGGCCAATGCCGATGTCTTGGTCGTTGTCGTGGTTGTGGAAACGGTGGTTGTGGTTGTCGTAGTCTCCTGCCTGATATCCAGCTCCATCGAGTCGCCGCTCTTTTCCTTCTCTTTACCCTTATCCTCCGACTCTGTACCTTCAGCTCCACCCTCAAGCTTGTTACGGAGCCCTTGCTTGAGGAGCTCTGCTGACTTTCCGGCAGCGGCCGCTGTGCTGGCTGGATCTGCAAGGCCGGCAAGGAATCCGACAACAGACATAACCGGGTTGTCGACTTGGCTGAACGGAAGCTGCCCTCTGTGGCTGCCCAGCATTTGTAACCCAACAGGAGCGTCCAACTTCTCAGATTCCAAATACTTGTCCTCAATATCCAGCTGCAGGAACTGCAGCACGCACTCCTCGCGCGTCCTTGTTCCAACGTACTCCGCAATCTCACCCCAATCATCGTCGTACCTCTCGAGCGCCTCCAGAAGCCTGAGAGTCTCAGCATCGCTCCAGGGCGCGTCGCGGTCGAGAATCGAGGTGTATGTCGGGTTCTCCATTCTGGTGTAGCTGGCGTTGGTTTGGTTGGCGGGAAGGCGGCCTTCCAGGTAGCAGCTGGGGCACATGTCGTACTTTGTCTTCGAGTTAACATCAGCCTGTGAGCTATGGTAGTAGATCCGGGTGCAGTCGATGCCGCAGTTGCAGCAGATGATCTTGGCGATAGGCGCCTTCGTAAGAGCATCGGTTTCCGACGCGCCGTTAGTCGCAGGGGTCTCTCCGTTGGTCTTGTTCAACTTGTTGTTCTTGGCATTGGCCTCGTAAATGTTGCGTCCCAACTCGAGTGTCTGCTCGCTCTTGGGTACAGGTGTGGCGGCAGCCTTCGCTTCGGTATCCTTGCTGGGCTTTCCTTCGATGAGGGCAGGGTCCGCAGCGGGCTGCCATGGCTGAAGACCACGAGGGGTGTCGACAATGATCTTGAAGTGACCGGTGAAGGGGGGTCCGACGTGCGACGGTCGCTGATCGGCATCAACCTGTTCAAGAAGGTCAGTATGAGTACAAGGATAAGAGCCGGAAGCGTAAAAGCTCACCTGGTAGTTAATAAGACCCCACTGTTCAAGGAAAGCATGGACGCGCATGATGGCGCAAACATCACCGGCCAAGTTACGTCTGCAGGCCGTAACTGTGAGGTACTCGTACGGCACCAGTCTATATGTGTCAATCATGAAATCGCGATAGTCCTTGTATACGGCAGGCGTCTTGCTGCGGTTCCTGTTGTTGAAGAACTCTGGCAGCGCCTTCCTCTCGATGTTGTGAATGGTGTTCCTGTCAAACCAGGTGCTGTAGCTGGGAAGGATGATGGCGTGCGTCTGTGAGATAACATGCTCTCGCGCAGCATTGCCAATTTGCTCTTTTGTTTTGGCGACATCGCCGGAGCCTTCGTTGGCGCTGGCGCCATCGCCGTTCTGAGTTGTCTCTTCCTTGGGTACATCACCCATCTCTTCGTCTTCGGGGGCTGTTACCGCGACGACGGCACCTTCGGAGGCATCTAGAGGAGTGGCGGATGCAGCACCGGGCGCCGGCGTGCTGTCATCTTGTTTGATGGTTGGTTCGGGGCCTTCGCTCATCTGTACATCTGAAGACGCAACAAATGCAGTGTTAGAGTATGTGCTAAACTGCAAAGATCGACATGCCATAGCCAGGGATGAGTGGAAGGAAACCAGCAGGAATGGACTTTACCTTCGCTGTTGCCAGTGTTGTTATCTGGCAAAGGTGGTTGTGCTAGAATAGGATTCGCACTTGGCGACGCACCATTGTTGGGCGTACCGTAGTTGACGGATCCCTCCTCCATGGCGACGACGGCGTCTAAGCTGGTGGGAGGATGAGGTAGGCAAACAAACACGCGGCGGCTGCTATGGGATGATGGCGAGGGAGCGGGTCAAGATGGATGCAATTGATTTTGATGTCCTCAGAGCGCGTTGTATATGCTAGTAAATCTGCAAAGGACCAATGCCGTATTACAGGGTGATCAAACTCGATGATTTGGGGCGCAAAAGTGGTGTGTTTTCGATGGGTCTGGTCTGGGGAGGGGGGCTGTTCGTGATGTCGTCGCGTTTGAGAAAATGCAACAAATGAATTTCGCGCCTGGCCACGCCGGTGAGTTGAATGGGCCTGCTGAGTTGACAGCGAGCAAGAAACGTGCCCGCCGCAGCTCACCTCGTTCTGTCCCTTCCTTGGCGAAAGAGCTCAGTGAGAAGGGATTGGTCACGTGGAGACACACCAGAAGCTAGCCACTTCCCGACCGTGTTTCATCTTACACGAGCCACAGTCTGTTATCCTGTCAGCCACATTTCCCGGGTTTCTCCACACAAGCTGGGCCGTTCCCCGCCAAACAGTGGTCCGCCCGCTTTTGGCCGAGAGTCGCTGTTGCTGTGCTGAAGCTACCGGGGGGTTGACCTGCTGTAGCGCGGTTTGGTAGCGGCCCCGGACCTGGGGGTCGCCATCGACCACTTTACCTCGGGCCGTCGCAGGCCGTTGCCTACGTCGATCCATTGAAGCGTCATTGGCATTGCTCACCCAGTCACCGGGTCCCCGATCGATCCCCGTTCCCCGTCCCCCGTCCTCCGTCTCCCGCCTCCGTTCCTTTGTCCCTCCACAGTCTGTCGCCGAGATCAGATCAACTAGGTTCTCTATCCGTCTCCGACAGAACCTCCCAGCTCCTCCGCCCACCGAGTCACCCCCCGGACGCCGTTCCATCTCCATCTCCAAATCCTATACACAATGCTGTCGGCCGGTGCCCGGGCGTTCTCCGCCCTGACTCGTCCCCGGTTCACTACCGCCTCCACCACTACCCTCAGATCCCCCGCTGCGCTCCGCAGGTTACTGTCCGCCCTCGCCGTCCTCGAGCAAAGGGACGGCAAGCTCAACCAGGGATCCCTCAGCGCCGTCACCGCGGCCGCGAAGCTCGGTGGTCCCATCCATGCTTTCATCGCCGGTAGCAATGTGAAGGCCGTTGCCGAGGAGGCGGCCAAGGTTGAGGGTGTCGAGAAGATCATTGCCGTTGAGAACGGCGCCTACGACAAGGTTGGTGGTTATGCGCCTGGTTGCTGTTATCCGCGAGGTGTGTGCATTTGACTTACACGCGGCGCAATTCTTTGCGTTGAACAGGGCCTCCCCGAGAACTACGCTCCTCTCTTGGTTGAGAACATCAAGAAGGGCGGCTACACCCACATCCTCGCCAGCGCGACCGCTTTCGGCAAGAACCTGATGCCCCGCGTCTCGGCCCTCCTCGACAGCCAGCAGATCTCCGATATCACTGCCATCGAGTCCGAGAACACCTTTGTGCGCCCCATCTACGCCGGTAACGCCATTGCGACCGTCGAGTCCACGGACGCCATCAAGATCATCACTGTCCGCGGTACCGCTTTCGCCCCTGCCGCCGTTGGCTCCGGTTCCGCTACCGTCGAGGATGGTGTCGACCCTAAGGCTGAGAGCACCACCGAGTGGGTTTCTGAGGACCTTGCCAAGTCGGACCGCCCCGATCTCTCGACCGCCGAGAAGGTTGTCTCCGGTGGCCGTGGTCTCAAGTCCAAGGAGGAGTTCGACAAGATCATGCTCCCCCTTGCTGACTCTCTGGGTGCTGCCGTTGGTGCTTCCCGTGCGGCTGTCGATAGCGGTTATGCCGACAACAGCTTGCAGGTCGGCCAGACTGGCAAGGTCGTCGCTCCCCAGCTCTACCTCGCTGTTGGTATCTCTGGTGCCATCCAGCACTTGGCGGGTATGAAGGACAGCAAGGTCATTGCTGCCATCAACAAGGACCCTGAGGCCCCCATCTTCCAGGTGGCGGACGTTGGCTTGGTTGGTGATCTGTTCGAGAAGGTGCCTGAGCTTACCAAGAAGCTCAAGAGCGCGTAATCATATCTTTGATATGTATGTTGTATGAAATATAAATGAGAAGAAATATATGTACAAACCTTTTGGCTAAATAGTATACAACAAAAAACACTGGATATCCTACAAACCATTCATCTCAAATCGGACAGGCAAAAGAAAGGGGTATCGCACCCCAACACGCTCAGCATCTCGTAGGTATCGTCTCACCCCAAAACGTTCAACATCTCTCCCGTCCTAGTAAACTTCTCCCTCGATCTGCCCCTTTCTTTTCCTCGTTGCCTCTCCACCTCATCAATCCTCCTCCACCCCTGCCAATCAACCACCCTCTTCTCATCACCTCTCGCCAAAACCTCACTCCTCACCCCTTCCCACCCATGGCACTTCTTATCCGTATTCAAGAAAGGCGTCGCCCTGCTCGCCCAATCCTCAATAATCGCATCCGCCGTCGCGAACGCGTTCTCCATAGTCGAAGCAATCACCCCCGTCGGGCCCGTCTTGACCCACCCCGCGCAGTACAACCCGGGAAAGCTCCTGTGCAACATCTCCGCGCCCCGCGTGTGCTCCTCGTGCTGCACACGGCCGTGGCCATCGTTGCTGATGATGCCCCGGCGCTCGTCAAACGGTATGTTGATATCCGAGAACTCGGGCAGGGGAGTGGATTTGTAACCGATGGAGCGGAAGGCTACCGATGAGGGAAGGGTGAGGGTCTCGCCTGTTGGAAGAGCGTAAGCGTTGGGGTCAAAAGGCGACGGTGAGAGGGCGGTGCGTTCAAAGGTTGTGGAGGCTAGTTGCCCTTGGGTTGAGTCGGGAGAAGAGGAGGAGGAGGAAAAGGCCTTGGGGGTCAGGCAGAAGTCGAGAGACCACGACTTGGATGTTTCAGAGGGCGATTGCGAAGTGGCGGCGGTGCCCTTGGCTAGCATCTCCATTAGCCGCCGCGGGGCGCGGGGAAGAGACTTGAGGTCGGTGGGGAGGAGGGCGGAGTCGACGGGGTGGAAGGATACGTCGGAGAGCTTCATCAGCTCGCGGACCTCTTTGATGGTGAAAGCCGCTTGCATGGGTCCTCGTCTGCCGACAACGTGGACTCGCTTTACTCGGCTCTGGGAGAGGGTTTCGAGCGCGTGAGAGGCAATGTCGGTCTTTCGCAGGACGTCGACATCCTCGAGGAGCATGCGGGCCACGTCCAAGGCGACGTTGCCTTGGCCGATGACAACGGCTTCATCGCCTTGAGTGAGATCGGGGTTGAGGTTGGCGTGCTCGGGAAGGCCGTTGTACCAGCCGACGAACTCGCGGGCGGAGTAGACGCCCTTTAGCTGATCCTCGCCGGTGATGCCAAGCTTGCGGTCTTGAGCGGCGCCGTAGGCGAAGATGATGGCGTTGTAATGCCGGAAGAGGCTGGCGAGAGGCACGGTGAGGCCATCGGGGTGGTCGGACTTGGTGCCGACGGAGACGTTTCCGATGAAGTTGAAGTCGGGGGACGAGGCGACTTCCTCGAACTTTTCTTGGCAGTTCTAGATTACATGTTAGGACATTGCGTCTTTGTGAATGGAGTATAGTAAGATTATGCATGAGAAAAGTACCTTGACTTCAGGATGATCCGGAGCAACACCAAATCTCACTAGGCCAAAGGGCACAGGTAGTGACTCGTACATGTCCACCTTTGTCCCTTGGATTTTGGCCATAAGCTTATAGGTAGTGTAAAATCCGGCCGGGCCGGAGCCAATAACGGCAACCCGGAGCGGATGTTCAGGAGTAGTATGGTGAGCCGGATGCTGGGAGTACATCCGGCGCGGCGCATGTACTTGCGACGGCCATCTTCCGTGCAAGCCAATTGCCCTGGGCTTTACCCGCGCGACAAAAGCCATTTTCAAATGTCCAAACAAATTCGTTGATAAATGATGTGAGGAGACAAATTTGGGATTTAAAGCGCAAATTGTTTGGACATCAATGGCTCATGTTTGTTGCAAGCGCAGATTATCTCGGTGGGTAGCCGGGCACGGCGGGAAGGCACGAGGTGACTCGACCGCCGTGAGTTCGGGTTTTGTGGGTCTTGAAATCCGGGGAACGTTTAGATCTTCAGCAGAGTTCACGGCACCGACCGGAGTTACGCACCGCTGACAGTGCCATCGAACAGGGTCCCCAGGACATCATTATCTGCTGCTTTCTGTCCCATCAACGAGGTTCCATCGTTACCTGGTCTCCTGAGATACTCTCATGGCTGTCCCAGTCTCGAGTTTCGAACCGCAGTTCAAGGCATCCTCTTCCTCAACCATGTTCCACGAGATGGGAATTACCAAAATCCATTGGTTGCTGCGACTTTCAAGCATCCGATGTTGCGTAAACTTGCGAATGGTGCATCCAGCCACCGACGATACGGGCTGAACGGGTCTGTACCAGGCGACGACAGGGGTTCATTGAGGGCAACCAAGCCAATTCGGGCGCCCGGGAGCGCGTACCTGCGCGGTTGCCGAGCCAACAACGCGCCGATAAGCTTCACTCAGCTTCCAACCTCCCTCTAAAAATGAGAGCCAAGTTCCGTCGACTTCTTCCCGCAGCGGGGAGGGCCAGGGAATGGGACTCTGGCTTGAGAACCTTGAGAGGCCAATTGAGCTAGCCCGATTTCTCCCAAAGACATGTCGTCACATGGAACTGGAATGATTGTTCAATAATTCATCCTTCCATTGCTGAACCACATCTTTTTCAACATTCGGGTGGCTAGCGGTTATTCGGTATCTCTCAACACCAAGCCGCCCAGCGCAACAGCAGCGCCGTCGACAATATGGGGGGCAACACCCAACCCTTCCTGTACGACTACGACCCCGTCAGGTACAGCACCGACGATCGTCTCCCACCAAAACTATTCGACCCAAAAGCCATCACAAGAGCAAGCTTTGAGAGGCCCAAGCCAAAACCCAAGCCAGATGGCCCGCTTGTCTCATTCAATGTCCATCCAGAGTATGTAACTAAAAGATTCCATGCAGTCTTCCATACATGGTCCCCACTGCAAGGGAGGTGGTGAACGTCGATCATGAGATATTTGGATGGCAGTGACTAACGTTGATCTCTTCGACTGATACAGCGCCTTTCCTCCTCCTGTGCGCACTATCCAGAGTTTCCGGCCCATGGGCCCAAGGTCCAAACAATGGATTATACAGATGAGGAAGGTTCAGTTGGTCTTTAGGCTGCTTCAGTTTCTAGGTGCTGCTGGCTTGCTGGTGATTATGATCATGTTGAACAACATCAAAGAAGTGCCCGGCTTGGTCGTAAGAATTGCGGTATGTCAAGTGAGACTTTGCCTTTTCACCAACGAGAACTTACTGACCATAATTCTCACGTAGCTTGGCGTCGCCATAATTCACACATCTTATGGCATTTACCACCTCTGGCGACCTGCCGGTGGACGGGCGCCAACGTCTTCGGCTGCCTACCATTTCGGTGTCATCATTGTGGACATTGCCGCTTGTCTGGTTTATGCATTCGGCGTTTATACGACCCGCAAGGATGGCGCTACGTGGGGTACTCTTCTTCCCGACAAGTCGGTGCTTCAATACTTCCTGCCGGCCGTTCAGTATGGATTGATTGGCGTAGGCGGACTCCATGTCTTTTCCATCGGCATTTCGGTCTTCCTCGCCATTCAGTTCTGGCGTATCTCCAAGATGCCACCGGATATGAATCCCCTGGAGGATACGCTCACCTCGCGCGCCCATAAGAGGAACAAGTCCTCGGTCGTTTCCATCTCGACCTACGCCGACGACGACAAGCGCCCTGGTACAGTTGCTGGCAGCCACCGTGACTCCAGTATACTCAGCGGTGACGACCTCGTCCGCCCACGCGCTGTCCCCTTCATGCATACCCGGCAAAGCTCTGACTTTTCCGAGCGGTCTTATGGTAAGCGCGAGTCTCGAGTCACCGTAGACCTACCGGACCGCCAGTACCAAATCTCACCCGGCAACTCACCACGAAGCTCTATGCCTCCCCGATCATCCTATCACGGCTATGACTCCGACCAGGTCCCGTTCGCCAACCGTGGTGCTGCTAACCCCCGCGCCAGCATCGCCTCCGGCCGACCGAGCACTTCGTACAACAACGGCGAGCATATGACCGCCTCCCCTACCTCCATGTCTCCAACCAAACCACAACAGCCACGCGGCGGCAAGTTCCAAGAAACCTGGTACGCCACCGAGTCCCTCTTCAACCGCACCCACGAGCGCAACCGCGCCATGAAGGATGCCCAAAAGAACGGCGGCGGCGGCGGCGGCGGCGGCGGTGGCGGCAACAACAAGCGCGGCAACCGCGCCTACGAAGCCATAACCGACTACTATGACACCCACGACTCCGACGACGATAACCATCACCAAAAACTGTCTCCAGCCCGCGACAACCACGCAAAAGGCTACCGGAACAGTCACAACGACAACGACAACAACGACGACGGCATCGACCTCGCGGACTTGCATCCCAACCCCTTACGCTCCAACCCTTCCTCGCCGACTTTGATCATCGACGCGGCGCTGGAGCCCGAGAGGTCCATCACGCCCTTCAGCCGCTTGCGCGAATCGATTCTTCGTCCGCTGAACTTGAACCCCCTGAACATCAAGAAAGTTCGCCAACAACAACAACCCCAATCCCAACACCTGAAGCCCGACAGCCAAGAACCGATGCGCAACCGCGACTCGTCTATCCAACCCGAGACTTTCTCCGTTGGCGGCGGAGGGAAGCCCTATGACGAGACCTCCGACACGCCTCCCACTTTGCTGGCAGGCCACCCCGCTAATAACCGGGTGGTCTCATCTGGCTACGACCACGATTTCTCGTATGGCGGAGCTGGGTCGGCAATGATGGCTATGGGTAGTGGAGGAGGAAGGCAGAGACATGTCAGTGGGAAAGTTGCTGAGGAGGGTATGGCTGGTGGGTTTGCGGGTGGTGAGAATCAAAAGAAGGATAGGCTGACGGTTACGAATGCTTAGTGGGCATGATTTAATCAGTAACGAAAGTTGGTTTTGCCTAAGTACCTACTTGGATGAACGAAAGGGGTGAGTGTGAATACTGAAATGTTATGATGATGGAATAATGTCATGAACTGATATGATGGATCTCTTCTTCTTCTCAAAGCGGGGTTTTGCTGTGTGTTTACTTGTAGCTAGCAAGCAGGTTCTGGAGTTTTAAGGACTGACTGGGTGACTGGCTGGGTTTCGATTTCGGTTTCGAAGGCATGATATCACTGTCACAAAGTGTCGAGCGGAGGTATGTCAATTAAACAAAAATGGCAGATTTTGTAGTGTATGTATTGAGTGTCTTGGTCGATAGGTTGTTCGGTTCTTCGGTTGTATAAAAGTTGTCAACTTCCAAACCCAGATATGCAGTGGTTCTATGTGTATACGTCTCCTACAGGTCATAATCATCGTAATCATCAAGTCCTTGTCACTTTCCATCATTTCTTTAATAACCTGTCTCCTAACCGTCATGCAAGTCCACGACATCACCGAACAGGGACAACTCAATACTGCTTCTTCGTAATTGGAAAAAAAAACATCGTAAAAAGCCGCGATAGGGATCACAATAGCTTAGCAACACATCGGACAGAGTCCCTTGGGGTTATTCCATCCAGAAACGGCCGAGGAGTCGGGTTCAGGCGAATAATGAAGACAATTGAATACCGGTGTGATGAAGTACAGGGGCGCCCAAGACGTGATGTACTGACAGTGATATGTTCGGTTTAGGTTATTCTTTCGACATGACCACCCACTTGTTCACACGAGGTAGGCACGGTTCAATCACTGCGGGCACGACATCATGTTTCCGACCTCCTTCCTTACATAAATTGATCGTTCGTGCCTGCCGACCTTAAACACCATCTTTCAAGTTCCTTCTGCCCTTCGTCACCGTCCCTTCTCACCTGCCAAATGGAAGAGGAAGGTTCACATGCGATTCTCTCGTCAGACAAGATACCGTAGACCACCTCAAAGTCATCCATGTCTGGATCACGTAAAGAAAACATCTCGATAGTACGGCTTCAAACGATTCTGCGCATCCATTCAACCTCAAACCTAGAACGCAGTCAAACACAATAATGCTAGTACCCTATGATCTACTAACCTAAAGATGCCTCAGTACGGTATGATCAAGGTTAGGTAGCTGCGGTGAAATGAAATTCCAACTTTCGAAGCATTATATGTAACATAACAACTTGCATACCATCAACGTCCCAACGCATTGATCACATAATCCCTTTCAAATCATCCTACCCTTCCCCTTCCCCTTCACATCCAACCTCGGAAACTCTTCCGAATTCTCCAACACGTGCCGAACATCTGAAGTCATATCCATGTCGCTCTGATGTGCCATCCGGCTCTGGCGAGCCTGTTCTTCCTCCAAGCTCAACCTCAACGCAAGAGCCAGATCGTCATCGATATCACCGCCAAACTCGGCCGCGTCCGCAGTTGCTACTGCGGTTGGGACGGTATCGTAGGCAATGTCGACAGGGTCCAGCCCAAAGGCTGCCGAACCGTTGGTATAACCGGGCTCGGAAAAGAGAGATGAGGATGATCCAGTCGCAGCACAGGGTTGCTTGCCCTTTCCTTTGCCCTTCAGGGGCTTCACAATGATGGAGAACTCGGGTAGCGGGCTCGGGCTGCGAGGAGGGTACTGCTCTGCTTCTTCTGCTGCTAGTTCTGGTGCCGGGCCCGGTGCCACTGCAGCAGCATCATCCACGCCACCGTTGCTTTCAAGCAGTGACAGGCGAATAGCACGCTGTATCATCTCCTCCTCCGACTCTTCAGTGACAGTCGGGAGATTCGCACCACTTCCGGCCACACTCGGACTAGCACCGGGAAGACTGGACTCGGGTGTGAACTGGTCAGCACTGCTTCCCGTAGATGGCAACTGCTCCCATTCTGATTCAGCAGTTGATCTCATCTCAGCCTCAGCTGCCAAGCGAAGCGACTCTTGCTTGATGAAGTCCTCCTCGGATACCAGTTGGGCATAAAGAAGTGCTTCTTCCTCAGTCATGTCTGCCAAGCCTTGTCCAAACCGCGAACGGAGCCGAGCCATCTCGCGAGTACGCGTCTCCTCCTCCTGGATAAGCTCCGCTTCTTCGGCGGCAATGAAGCCAGAAACATGGTGGCTGGTTCTACGACTGGCAACCCGGCCGTGTACGTCGTTATGCCGGTGACGTCGCTTCCGGCCCGGAGTTTGATTCGTAGAGCTGTAAGACCAGAACCTGATGTTGTTGCCCCATGCCGATACGCCTCGAAGGACGGTCGGGTCAGGATCCAAGAAAATGGCGCGAACAGCAGAGTACACATTTCGTTCCATCGCGGGAGCCTGTGAGAGAATGGCACGAGGGATCCGGCCCAGCATCTTCGCATTGAGGGTGCGGATAGGTTCATTGGTTGAAGCCAACGGGTCCCATGCTTGGACCACACCGTCAGTACCACCGTGAAGTAGATAAAGAGCGGAAAGCGCAAGACTGGAGATAGCGGGTGAATCGGTCTGAATAACTCGCAACGGCTTGACCATGTGGGCAGAGTGATGATCTCTCATGTTCCACACATTCACCGAGCCGGTGCTGGTTCCAACAGCAAGATAGCGGGCGCGGCGACCAGGAATCTCCTTGGACGTGGCACCACTTCCATCATGTTCAAAGCAAAGAGGGTCCTCAAATGCCGCCATGACAGCATAATTAGACAAATCGATCGCACTTGCGGTGATTTCTGCACCTAGAGGCATCTTAAGCTTGTAGTCGGTGACAGACCAACCGTTGATAACGTCTCCTGCGGGCGTGGCTGAGGTTGAGGGTGACCCGCTGGAAGCATAAATCGCCGTAGGCTTCTCTCCACCGTCGGTGGTAGACTGAGGAACAGAGTCCAAGCTTTTCGGCGTCTCCGTAGCTCCAAAGATGGAGGCTGTGGGTGCTGAAGATAACAAGGCCGCAACCCTCTCTGAATCGACGACTGGGCTAGCCTTGTGTCTGACATATCTCCGAACGGTGGGAGGCACACCCTCCTCCAAACCGCACTCGATTTTGAAGATGGCCTCACCGCCGTTTTCGTCGCCGACAGCAAAATCCACCTCGAGTATCCGTTGCATATCCCAATCTAAGCAAGCCTTCCGGAAGTCCGCTGGTTTGCGACGGAAGAAAGATTCTATCTCTCGAGCCTCAGCAACTATCTGGGGCTTGCTCAGATTCATGAAATTTGCCGAAGTGCGCGGTGAGTATGAAGCATCAGCTGCATTTTTGTCAAAATCATCCGGTATTGCGACACGCCGGGTTGCTTCAATCATCTCCCAATAAGCAGTGCGTCCGGCATCCCAGGCATCCTTAAGCAGGGTTGTCGACTTTCCACGAGCTGAAGAAGGAGTCGGCGTCTGGATGAGATAGAAAACCTCTCCGAGTGCATTCAAAGCAACAGCCCAGACCCTGTCCATGCCTTTGCGTCTCAGGTTGTAGTTGTCATCGACCTTGATGTCTACAATAGGTACGCCAGGACTGAGCACCCAGCGTGCGGTGATCTCGCCAACACGATTGCCGGCGCGGCGACCCGAAATTTCATAGCCAAGGGTATAGGCGGTCACTATGCCGAGGGTCGAGCCAGTTAACATACCAACCATTGAATCAGTCGCTGTTGGTACATTGGGCGACTTTGCGATCCACACTGAACAGACGGCATCCAAGAGTACGGGAATCTTGGGGATCTCAGGCTCGCCATCGACTGTTTCGGGTACAATTCCCAGGAATCGGCCGCGCAGCTGACCTTGTGGTTTGAAGTAGACTCGACCACCAGGGAACGCTTCGGCACCGATTAGACCATAGGGCTGACTAACGTCAATGACGTTGGGGACCGCTGCAGGTCCGTCGCCCATTCCGTAGTACACGAGACCGGGATGCACCTCGTCCAGTTGCTGGAAGTGGAACTGATCATCCATACCCAGCTTCTCAATCTTACCAGTGGTAGGATCGCTGACGGACGCCATTCCAATATCCCTAGAACCATGCATCACCCGCGGCCCATTTCGATTACGGAAAACACGGCGTGCAGATGGGTGACCATCCACGAAAGTCTCGGGCTGTACGTCAGGACGGCGGCTGCCTTCTTTCCAGACTGGATTGTCATCTGTGAGGAGCCATCGGGTTTCCCGCGGGATACACTCCTAAGCAGCCGGGTGCGGAGGAGATACTCGCTACGCCATGTGGCCATGGCGCTCAGCCTGGCAAAGTACCGAGACTCGGAGCGTATTCTGTCCACCTCCCCATCTTCGTTGGCCAACTCGCTCCTTTTCTTTGCCGAGAGAAGCGATTCTTGACCAGGAAAGTTGCGCAGGAAGGCTCTTCGCCAGGCATATGGGGCCGCAACGAGGTGGTAGAAGCGCTTCGAGACCAGAGCGACGTCTCCGTGGGAATCGGGATGCAGATGCGATAGGATATGGGTCAGGATTTCTGGTAAAGCATCTGTAAGCTACAAAGCCTAACGTATTGAGGACATCGACCACACAACGCTGAAGCACATACCGTTGGGAAAGTCTGTCAGCTTGACGCGTCCAGGGGAGTTCGAAGTGTTCTTAACAACTTGAAATGCTAAGGTATGCGGAACGTGTTGTCGGGATAGCAGTAAGGCGTTTTCATATTCGGCGATTCGTTGACCAGCAGTCATAACAGGCTGGGCGGCAGAGACATAGTCGGCAGCCCTCAGTCGGCCAAAGTCTTGGTCGAAGCGATGGCCATCGTCACTCCCAGAAGCGACATCTCCGCCAAAGATGCTCTCGTGAGGAGAGGCGTCATCTGGGGAGCTTGGCTGGGAGCGAGGCGAGCCATGTTGGGCGGCTTGGTCGGAGGATATTAGATTTGGATCTCGGGGTACTGATACAGGAGTCTCGATCGAGCCTGGGTGCATAAAGGACTTTTAAGTGAACCCGGGTGGCAATGCGCCTGACTGTGCAGTTCGATTTGCACAGTCGCTGGTGTTCGGTAGGTGAGGTCGGTGGTGTTGACGGTGGTCGGGAGGAGAGGACGGGCAGCAGCACGGAGGGTTTCTTGGTGGGCAGCACGTCGAATTGGCGATGCGGGTTGCGTTCACTTTGCGCGGGATGTCAAATGCGAGAGGGCGAAAGACGGTTGTTGTCGTGAGGGTGACGTTTTTGGAAGCAAGATTTTCGATCTCGCGTCACAGCATCAACTGTCGTGGAAGGATTGCCCTCTGGGGAAGGCAAGCATTCATGACTCTTGCCCGATGATTCGCTGCAGCCTCTACCGAATGACTGGTTGCCGACAATAACCTAGAAATACAGCGCATGTATCTGAAACGGGAGTAACACTCCACAGAAAATGTTTCATTTTGTCTTGATCGGCTGTGTAACATTCAATCCTTTCTTGTACACACCAGTGCTCATTCAATCAAATCTGTCCTGCCGCGGTCGCTCCACTGGAAGTCGCCTTTGAAAACTCCCGCCCTACTTGTAGAACGCCACTGCGGATGTTTGGGGCAAATCACATGCTGACAGAACTCCACATCAAAGTCTCACGGAGACAATTGCGCTTGAGGCATACACCGGCGAGACTCAAAAGATTTGTTGCTTCAATCGTTCAGCTCCACGTGCAATCGACGCCCTCGCTGGGAAGCTGGAAGTACCAGGGAGCACGGATGACACAGGTCACGATGACCTCAGTGCTCAGTCTGCGTCCAAGTGCAGTACGGCAAGCATGGGACCTGAGATTGACAAGGTCCAAAAGCCATTCCCGGGCGCCAGTCCAGTGCTGATGATATTGAAGTGTTATAAACATACAATCATCATGCAAATCCATCATGAAGGCAATAGCGTCGGGAAGATAGATAATCCCCCTTACCCATCTACCACCCATCAGTCGTCAACACGAGAGCGGACAAAGCTTTCCGCTGCTCATCTCCAGAGACAGAAAAACCGTTGAGTGATCAACCTGATCAACAACGGAAGCAAACCTTTGCATAACCCATTCCGGAGACAATAACATGATATTTTCCTAGGGGCCTGGTGAAGCCATGGGGGTTGTCCATCTCCGCCAATTTCAAAACGGGCAGGAGGGCGGGATCCATTCGCAACGGACCTTCATCGCCAACGGACAGCGGCCCGCCTCGTTGCTTCACATGTCTGTTCGGGATTTGACCATCGTGATCATACTTCAGAGACTACCTTGCCTAGGCAGAGTACCGATTAATCACTGAATCATGCAATGACGGAGATGAGATCATGAGGAAGAGTTTGTAAAAAAGCGACCTCCTCCACAATGTTCCCGACGTGAACCCCGAAACAAGGGGCGGAAGAGGGAAGGAAAGTAAGAAAACAAGAGCGGAACCATCAGAGCGGAAGGGCAAGGACGGGTACACCCGATCCCGAACGAGTGAACTCCACAACACCCCTTTCCCACCTGACGGTGGTCGGAGTCGGGGCAGGTCGGCGGGCAGGCGGGCGTGCGTGGATGGAGAAAGATGGATGGATACACGTGTGCAAGATGGGGATGCTTGTTGCTTCGGCGAGGAGACCGCCACGAGGGCAGCAATTGTCGCGGCAATTCTAACGATCCTACTTTCACCTCCACTTCCACTTCCACTTCCACTTCCACTTCCACTTCCACTTCCACTTCCACTTCCACTTCCACTTCCACTTCCACTTCCACTTCCACTTCCACTTCCACTTCCACTTCCACTTCCACTTCCACTTCCAACTTCTAAACCTGCCCATCTACAACTCCCACAGCTCCCACAAAACTCCTGACTCGTCAACGAACCCAACGGGTGTCTGGTTATAAACGGTGTAGGCTTGTGGGTTGTGGGATATGGAACTATGGGTATGGGTATGGGTATGGGTATGGGTATGGGTATAGGTATGGGTATGGGTATGGGTATGGGTATGGGTATGGATATCAACATGGAATCTGTGTGGAATCGTGATATTGTTCCAAGGTGCTGTAATTCCCTCTTCTTGTTTTCCCGGAGACTTATTCACTGGGCAAAACGGGGTCCCTTTCTTTGGAACAGTCATTTTGGTTCCTGGATCCTCGTCCTTTTCGATCTTGACTTTTTCTGGGGGACCGTTTTGTTTCTTTTCTCGAACGTTGGTGAACAGCCGAACGAACATGGAAACTCCTTGTTGTGTCTCTTTCAATGCTTACACGTGTAGGCAAATTATCCATTCCTGGGGGTTGGCGGCCTTTGGCAAGCTATCGCTTCGAGCCGTTCAACAGTTGAAGGACTGAGCATTATCAATTCCAATCCCGTCCGTGTTCGTATGGAAGGAAATGCCATTCTTCTTTTTTGCTCGCAAAAGAAAATCCAAAAACCCAAGCGCGCCGGCGCCGGACAGAGCCGGCTAGCTCGCTAGCTAATGACTTGCTAACGAACTCCTCTAAAAAACGACTCGACCAAAAGTTAGTCCTCGGCTCCTCCCCCTGTCCGCCCTTGGCTTCTCGGAGGCTGGAATGAAGCTGGTCTGGTTTGATTTTCGTATTACTGTAGCGTAAATGATAGCGTATACAGTATTTTGCACTTGCACTTGCTCCCGACTTCCCGTCCCGTCAACATCATGCAATGGGAAGTTCTGCTTGCTTCCCGGCCGCGATGGGGATTGGACTCTCCGCTGCTCGTCTCCATCTCTGTTCGCCTCTGCTCCGTCTGCATCTCCATTGTCATTTGGAGGTTCCCCTACACACTGTCACAGGGAACATGGGTCGGGGAAGCAGGAAGGGAAAACGTGGTGCATTAGCAGCATGTCTGTCCACTAATGATTTCAGGAACCGTTCATGGGGCATGTGCATCATGAGGTTTTTAGGGTACTGGTCTGGAATATGTGTGACTCCGTTTTGCACATGACAGGATCTTCACGCAGGAAATGTTGGGTTCTTCTTCCTCTTGTGAAAATACCTTGTGAAGGCTAATCTTGTGAAAGAAATGAACACTTGCTTTGAATTTTGAAAAGTCGAACTCATGAAACTGTGCGTTTGGACGGCCAAGAAAATGGGTATTTTTTAGGGATCATCAGGGTTGTGAACTGAAGGACGCCTATTTTCCGATGGACTTGGACCCCGTCGGAAGATGACAAGATTTGAGACAAAACATACTGCGTAGTAGGCCTTGAAAAATCCGGAGAAGGAGGCGTTCGGATAGCCCAAGCAGTTAGTAACGAGTCCCAACTGTCCGTGTGAGTGATAAAGATGACCAAGCAGAGCCCAAGGACATCGGGCCGGTAAATCACCTCCTCTTTGCTCACCGGCCAAGATCAAGCCTCAACCGAACCCGCGGGTTTTTTCCCAGCAGTCCCTTCCCATTCCCTCTTCCCTCTCCGCACACCGAGCGGGCGGCTGGCTGCCGGGTTCTGGCGGGCTGGCGGGGTTCAAGGAAGAAAAGGTGTCGTGATTGTCGTGATGGTTTCTTCTCTGTGGTGAGAGAGCCACAGAGCCCAGCAGGAAGGAGCCACAAGCCCCCGTGGATACTGCCCGTGTTGATCATTGCCCTGCTTGAGCGATACTCCGAAATTTATGCTTTTTCAGATATCCGCACAAGGAAAATTCCGAGTGCTTGGTAAGTGATTATGGTCCTCACAAAGACAAAACGAAACTTTAAAAACAGACTTCAGTGTGGACATCGAATGTATGTTTTCCTCGACTTGTCGTATTTACCGTATTTTACTACGTTGCATAGACGCTCCGTTTCTGTGGTTACTGGTTCATGTGAAGTCAGCACAACCTTCTGTTGACTCTGCGTGTGTCTTGGGCCCCAATGTCTTGAAGGCCTCGCTGAGGATCATTGTGGGGTTATAGCCGATACATGATGAGATACACACTTTGTGACTTCTTTTCTGTTCCCCGTGAGGAAAGCAAGGAATATGAATTATGATGAGGCAAGCAATTTGTAAGAGCGAGCTTATCGTGAGCAGCGGCTTCCTTAATTAAGCACGCACGTCCATTGCAAGCCATCCATGGAGGGTCGCAACACAGCAGGCGGGGGTTCCATCAGAGGCAAGCCGATGGACGTACACACCACAACTCTGCGAAACCACAAAGAGAAATTGTGCCAATACGAAACCATTGGAGCGCATCGTGATGCGGTGTCGGGAGGATGCTTGTCTGAATGGTACCTTTGGGTTCCTGCAGTTGTTGTCCAACCGCTTCCGCTCACCGTACCCGATATTCCATGTTTGGTGTTCAGTGTCCTTTTTCCTTTTCTTCCCCTTTGTTATGCATTGTCCAATTGTAATCATGCCGGGTTCCATTTCCATATTGTTTGAAATTCCCGACTGTTCCAGATTGCACGATACTAGGAGCAATACCCTACTGCTCGGAGGCAGGCCAGAACGCAGTAGTACGCCTGTAGTAGTCCATTCGGAAGCCATGCCTGTGCGAACGGAAGTTGCTTTTTCGTTCTTCTGTCCGAGCGACTGGCTCCCCGGCGATGCTCTCAAGATCCTCGGCATGGCATGGTACGGCATGGCGTGAGAGAGGAGCCAGTAAAACGAAGTGATAGCTCACAACAGCGAAAGGATTTTTCCACGGATTCCGTACATAAACATGCCACCCTGGCACATCCACAGACGATACACGAAGGTGGTGAAGGACGATGAGTTCCAGTTGCTTGGAGATGTGAAGTGGATTTGAAGGCCTCCGTTTTGAGGTGTTGCTTACGCTGCGTGCGCAGTATGCAATGCAGTGCACTCCATCTGACTGAAAAGCTAGGCAATCTGCCAATATTGCATAGCGGGTGAAGTCTAATGAATCTTCCCGACAACGAATTTTGAGCTTGCATCCTTGTCGATATCGTGACATTCTTTTGGTGTTGCAGTGATAGTCATCTCAACTCACCTGATGATAGGAGCGGGCTGAGATTGTCCGTACAGAGAGACACCGGCTGATGATCAGCATTGGGAA